TGTTGCACTTAGTAGCTGTTGGAAGCTTTTTCGCAGGCCTCGTATAGAGTTTGGCATCCTAAAACACAAATAGTCTCGATCGAAATTCAAACCGCTTACGAACTTCCTAGATTTACTAACTCCCTCGGGAACCAACACATATGCATATCGTGCAGCTCCAATTTGACGTAGTGCTCTTGGACGTTCATAATCACTTGCTTCAGGTGTAAGAGTTTCTCGTACTTCGTAGCTTTCACGTTGTCTAAATAGAATCATTCTCGCATGGCCTCTATAAACGTCTCCCAAAGAAAGTAAGGTTGTTGACGCAATGTTGGGCCAGTCATGGCCCACCAATTATCCGCCTCTTGACGTAAGTAGTATGCAGCTATATCAACTCGTTGATCCGCGGGGCAGTTCATAGACTCGAAGAGTTTGTCGAAAGTGCGAATCCAATCCTCGAAGATGCGATGATCTTCTTGGCCTAAATAGCTCGGGGGAGTACGCTTTGCTACAAGTTTCGCTACATCATTACGGGTGTTGAGATGTTGTTGGTTTTGATTCTGCAGTAACACATTCGCGACAGTCTGGATGAGTTGTGTTAATTGGACCATATTCTGAGCTAATTCCTCATTCGTTGGTGTGGTGTCATTGTTCTCGAAGTTGTTCCTCGTTGACGTCATTGTCTCCTTGAAAGGATAGCGTTTAGGATACAATTAAGAAATCTATCAAATAGCTAGTATTCACAATTTTACTACTCTAACCAATAACTCACTAATCAAATACTTCGTATTGTCTAAAGTTCTTCTATAAGTCCAAAATTATCCTCAAATAAACATATATGGATATGCACACTTAAACATATCCCAAGAAAATCAAAAGAGCCGCAAAATCAACGAAAATCAAAATCAAAGTCTCACAACCTCACCACGCGCCTAAAATTTTATTTTAGTCCTAGATTGTTGTTGTTGTTTTTTTCCAAATATAATTTGGAAAAGCATTTTGAAAAACCTTTAAAGGAAATTTTAAAAATGTGTGCAAACCTCTTTACAAAACCTTAGAAAAATTGTTTAGAGAAATCCCCCAGAGAACCATAGGCTCTGATACCAACTTGTAACACCCCCAAATTTCCCACCCAAAATAATACTTTATTCAAATGAAATATTAACTTTATTCGAAAACATTAGAGTTATGCAGCGGAAAACCAAAAGGGAAATAGGGGCGTTACCGCCACACTCGATTCTCCCTTAACCGAGTGCACAGGCTAAATCAACTTAAACTCCAAAAATAATTATTCACTAACTAAAGATATTGAAAATGGAATTACAATGATTTACTATGTTTTCTAGCGGAAGCTCTCTCGAAATCAACATCATCATCAAAGCGTCACCTGTACAAAATCAAGTACAGAAAGAAAAACAAAAGAAAACAAAAATTAGCAACAATGCTAAGTAAGTTCCACCTAACCCCATAAAATAATAAATAATAAAATTTAATGTTTTTGAAAAACATTTATGAGGAAAAATATTTTTTTTTTTAAAAACAATTTATCATAGCATAATTCACTAGTAAAATAATAGTACCTCAAATATAAGCAAATATTTCCCAACCACAAAAATTACAAAAATACCAAATATACGTAAAACCACCAAAAATCATTACAATAATTCCAAAGCATAAATCAAACACCAAATATCTCAAAATACTTGTAAATGCTGATAATAAAGAGTACTCAACATAATCAAACCAAATCAAATCCAAAAGTAAAACCCACAAATAATTTAACAACTCAATCCAAATATAATCCAATCCAATAATCCAACAATTCCAATCAATCCAATACTTTAATTCACCACAAATCCAAATCAAGCCAATCAAATAATCTCAATCACCTCAATCCAATCAAAGTCCAGTTCACCTCAAACCCAATCAAAGCTAGTGGAAGCCGAACTCCTACCTTAAGTGTGCACACCCCCTAAAAGGGATTCCAAGCCCTCCGGGTAGTAAGAAGCCCGAGTAGTCGGGATTTTTCTACCAACTACACTACGATTAAGCTGGGATACTCCGCTTTTGGGGAGTACCCCTGGTGGATTTAGACTTATAGTCATTACCACTCACCAATACCACATTTATCCGGATGTGGCAAACCGACACCACAGATTTCTCTGGGTGCTCACCAAAAATCACAATTCATTTTCAAAGTTCCAAACCAATATCACAACCTCAACCAAAACGGATATGAAATCCAAACTCCACAAAATAATCCACAATGTAAAATATTAACTACAACAAATACACTCAAATGTACCATACATTAAAATTTCACAAAAGAGCCAAAATATAGAATACTTCACAAATAGCTCAAATCCCAACAACAATTCACACGATTACTCAAAATATATCCAATACCGAATACTCAAATCTCAAATATAATTTCTCAATAACAATTCATAACAATTTCCAAATACTCAAATAAAAATCTCAATCGCAACTAATTTAATACGTAAATGTAATTGCTAGAAATCTCATCAAATACTCAAATAATTCAAATAAATAATCATAAATAGATTTGCGAGGAAAAAGGTATAATTTTGGTTGACGTGAAACTTACCTCAAACTCCAAGTACTCTAGTGAAATCTTCTACGTTGCTCCTCACCCATATACCTTATAAGAATATTAGAATTGTATAATGAATAACTATTCCAGTCTCTTAATAATTATTTCCCAATTACAATTTACTTTACTCATTTAGAATCATTAACCCAACCTCATTTAGTTCGGTGCATTTTATTAGCCGATCCAAGTACCAAGTTTCATTTTATAATTTATTGTGATTATCCTTCCAGTTTTATATGCTAATCGGCCCAATAGAATAAATGGAGGAAGTTCGTACTGTTTCTTCGTCATCTTCATCGTCAACTCTAGGCCACTGAACGGTTCTTCTCAGACGGCGACCGTATCAGCCGGGCAGATCGTGGGTTCTCTCCTTGGAAGTAGCAGCGGCAGCGACAGACGACTTCGGCTCCTTCTAGTAGCGGGTGACGGCGGCAATCAGTAGCCCCTCGACGCCGACGAAGGTGGCAGTGGTCCAGATGATTATGGTGGATCCAGACAGTCCGACGCAAGCTCCTTTTCCGGTGATGAAGGAATGCAGCGGCGTTTGCTTTTCTCCGCCGTAGAAACAGACTGGCACACCGGCAGTGTTGCACCGGCAAATTCTTCTTCTTCTGGGGACGCTGCAATACCACCGTAGATTGGTAGCGACTCAGGCTGGCGAAGGTTGTTCGTTTCTCTTCTGCGGCGAGTGTATCTTGGTACGCAGGCCTTCGATCGTAGCTCTGTATATATATAGGCGTGATGGACTAGACTCTAGGGTTTCACGCGTAGAATGGTTTCGGCCGTTTCCATATACGGAGTAATGCGTACCAAATACGTAATACATACCATGTGTTAGCATAGTTTGAAAAGTCATCTCTTAATATATTACTATATTAGTAATAGTAATAATTGCGGAGCAGTAATTAGTATTATTATGTATACTTATGTTGGTGCGTGTGTTTTAGTGTATAAATATGAAACGGATCCACCCCATAACATCTGTTGTATAATTGGCAAGCCCCATAAAGTTTAAACAGACACTCCTAAAGATGTCACATTTATGATTTAAGTTAAAATTTTATGTGACCGAAAATGTGAGTTTGTCAATTGTTAAAATTTCATCTAATCAAAGATATTATCTATTATTTTGTTTAAATTTTCGGGGTATCACACTGGGTCTGGTTTTGTCTCGGTTGAAAGACCGGAATGTTTTGCCCTATACCTTGCATCCCATAAGTCTAATTTTGAAAAGTGGTTTCGGGAGCAGTAGAGGTATTTTGGAAAAGCTGATATAGTGGTGGAAGATTCAATTGTGGAGTGGACTGATTTTGAAGAAAGAATGGGGTGTGGGAATTCTGAAATCCCGAGTAATTTCTTGGTGAAATAGGCGGTGAAAACTGGGGGAGGTATTGACATAGAAATCAAGGTTACCAGAAGTGGTTTGGACCTCAGACGTCCCAGCAATTCCAGATGAAGATGATTGTTCCATGGTCACGTTCTTTTCTCTCAAAGCCTTGCGAATCTGTTTGGCGAGCTTCTCAATCTCAGGATTAAGAGGGACTAGTGATTCTCCTTTCTTAGAGCATGTATGCATAAACAGATTTGACCTGCAAGGTTAGCAGACAAAAATCCTACAAAAAACTAAAAAGATTAGTTTGATTAGCTAAATTCATCGATTAACAAGAAATAAATAAAATAAAATGCAATTGTGCGAGTTTGATTGGTTGGGGAAAAATTAAACTAATGCAGATGAGCGATTAAAATAAATTTGGTTTTCTTATTAATTAACGACGAAGGGAAAAATGATTGATTCCGGGGTAACCAGATTTCTGACAGATCAGGCCCAATTACATGAATTTAATTTAATTAAGCCTAGCTAATCATTACTAAGTTCTTACCGCTCTCGCGGCGTAGAGTACAATAATTTAGGGGAACAGGCTGATTACTCATGCGACAAGATCCTAAATTATTGCCAAGACGAGCGAGCTTACGGCCCCTTAATCGTCACTAATCTCTTAGCGAATGATTAAGTGTGTGTGAATGTGTCCTAGAACAAATTAGATTTCTCTTAATTCATTCTACACGCAATTGTAATTCTAGTGGCCATCTAGGTTACAAGATATATCAATTAAGTTATTCAAACACAAATTTAACGGCATTCATGCAATTAAACAAACAAGAATCTAGTCATACATCATGATTAACCCCTTCATCAACCCCAAATCCCTAATTAAACTACTCACGCCTCATAACTGACGAATCAAAAGAATTGGAATGAAAAGTTTTTTTTTTATCAAAAAACAATAAATGGACTATAATAAGAAAATAAAGAGAACAATTCGGAAAATGATCCTTGGACACCACTTTCTGATATATTATAAAGGACTCTCACAGTCTCACTCAATGCATCTACAAAATAAAGCATTATCTCTCACAAAGCCCAGTTTAAGCTTTCCTTTGTAAGCAAGAAAGAATGAAAGATTATCCACTTGCAACGATTTCATGAATTGCAAGACTGACAGAGGCATCCTCAGATCGAACGGCCAACTTCATGGCAACCTCTTTCATCCTATCGATTCCAAATCCTAACCTAACAAGGACCTTCACATTCCCTATGTATAGTCCCGACAGTAAGCATGTATGTGATCTTGCATTGCTTGGCACCACTTCCGTTCCCTCGCAGGGCTGCATGCCAAGGAGATTAATGACAGCATTAACAGCCTCAGCCAAGCTTTCTCTATGACCAAGACCGTATTCATCCACGTGCTCACTATCTGGCGTCATGCTTTCCCATGCATTCCTAAAATTGGACACACCCACTTTAAGCATATAGTCTGCTGCAACCACCTCCACGTCCTCTAGTTGGTATTCATCTTCCACCCCATCTTCCTCTGCTTCGCCAGTACTTTGATCGACCTCTTTAACAATGAACCTCAATGTATTTGAGAATTTACCAACTGCAGGCACTCCTTCTGGTTTCTCAAAAGCTATAAATGTCTGCCCAGGTGAATCATATGGAAGAGATGTGAGGGGTTTAGCAGCCACTTCAGAAAATTCCTCAACTTCAAAAGCATCAACAATAACAGTGACATTCTCCAACAATTGCTCTGGAATTGTGTTTGTGCAATTGTACTGAAATACAACATGGCTATCAAATATGTGTTTCACCACATTGACTGAATATTCTGTCTCGGCTTCTGTAAGTTCCACTGGTGTTGATGACTTAAAAAGCTTCCCATAGCTTGAAAACTCTAGTATGGATGCAAGTAAATTTTCATATGCATCAACAGCTGATGTGGGGCCAGAAGGAGGGGCAGTTAGACCACTAGGTTTTTTGCCATGTGCTTTCTTCTCAGCAATGGATTGAGACTTAAACTCCTTTGGAACACAATTGATATCAAATGGCTCATCTGAGGGGACGTAGTTCTTCAAATTTGTTTCTAAATTTACTGTCGGGACACCAAGTGGCCCAAACAAGAATTCCTTCACCTCTTCATCAGTTTCAACAATAGCACCATCACCTCCTAAGGTATTCAGATAAAGTGTTGCCCTGTCACGAACCTCATCATCATTGTCAAATAGACACCTTTTCAACAGAACAAAGATGCGGGGCTTCAATGAGTCAATTATTGCTCCAAATTTTGCTAGAGTACTGACAGCACATGCCCGAACTGTTGCATTTTCAAGTATTACCCGGTTATATATGTATCTAATGTATTTACTAGGATCTGAAGTCTTAGGCCCTTCATTTCCAATAAAGTGCAGTATCTGAGTGGAAAGATATGTAAATTCACAATCCTCAATGAATTCACATAAATGAAGGAGCCCACTTTCTTTAGCATCAGAAATATCTCTTATAAGAATCACAATTGAATCAACTATTGCTTTCTTGTACTCAAACCCACCTTCTTCTCTCAAAATATTGCTCAAGAAATTCATCAGAGATCGGTACTTGAGGAGGAACTTTAAACACAAGGATCTGATGGCTTCCACGACAACAATCTTAAAGTCATCACCAATGTCAGACATGAAATTAGTAATTTGTTTCATCAGACGATCGATGCTTGACTCATTGCCGGTTTTAAGGAGAATTGGAATGAAAAGAATAAATTGTCATTAATTAAAAGAATTGAACTTACAAAGAATCCCAGGTTCTTGAAGTAAATAACGTAAAAACGCAGATAAAATTCGTCCTAGGCTTCTCCACAAAGTTCTTAACCTTCAAAAAGGGGTATGGAGGCCTTATTTATAGAAAACAGGTGTATTTGAGCTGAATTAGGACAAATCGGGGCCAAGCACGACGCCAGGCACGATCGTGCCTGAGACCGTGCCTGCGGAGCATGCGCGCGTTTCGTATGGAGGCATGATCTTGCCTCCCTTCCAGGCACGATCGTGCCTGGGAGGCAGTAGCCCCTCTTGCCTAGGCCCAGGCACGGTGGTGCGGTCGTGCCTGGCCTTTTCTTCACCGTTTCTCGCCGTTTCTTGCTCCAAATGCTCCCGGATGCAAATAAGGTCGATCTAAATGCTCTTTCTTCATCAGAATTTCGTCGTGAATCTCCTGGTGACCTCCAAATATCTCAAATCTTCCTCGAATACTTCCAAACTCTTCCCGATTGCCTCTTTAAGCGCCGATGCCGGTCTCTAACTTCTTCAATTCAACTCCAAATGCAACAAAACTCGATCCAACGCCTGATAATCACAAATTGAGCTAAAATTGAGACTTGCAACGCCTTAAAGCTAAGAAAACCATCAAAATTCGACTCCAACACGCATCAAATGCGTGTTATAATACGAACTTATCACACCACATGGCCATGGGGGTTGCAAAACCGACAAAATGGAGCACCTGGACGAGTAAGACCATGAGAAAAGCTGGGTGGTGAAAATCTAAGAGAAATACGACTGTGAGAGGGAGCACGAGCACGGGAAGAGCCACAACCAGAAGTGCCAGATGAAGCAGAGTGCTTGTCATTGTAATTCACAATGGGTAAGAGAGAACTGTTGGAGTCGAAGGATTTGTTGCATGGGTTCATGATCAGTCAAGATCCATTCGAGTTCAACCATGGTGGTGGGAGTGTTACGAGCTTGAAAGGCCGAACCAATAGATTGATATACATCCCCTAATTGATTGAGAATATATATTAAGAGGTCTATATCTGAGATGGGAGATTTGGCTAGAGCAAGACCTTCCGCAATGTCATACATATCACGAAGGTAGTCTGAAATTGAACGAATGAGAATCGGTAACGTGAAAGTTTGCTCTTGAGAGCCCGGACACGGCCAGGAGAGGCATTGGCATAGCTATCACATAGAGTAACCCAGTCATCATAGGTCATGGACACATTGGAGATCAACGACTGAATATTTTCACTGCAGCTACCAAGGAGAGCGTTAATCGAGATCTGATCTTGACGATACCAGACAAGATAACATGGATTTGGAATGGTTTTGTGGTCATCGCAAAGCATAGCAGGAGCTTCAAGAGAGCCATCGATATATTCAAGGAGATCATACCCAATAAGGGTAGCCTCGATTTTATGACGCCAAATCGGAAAATTGCATTGGCTTGAGTTAGTTTGATAGGAAAATGGATAGGTGCAGAGGCATAGCTAAGACCGAAGTTTTGGAGAATGGAGAAGGGAAAAAAAGAAGGTAGGATCACGTAGAAGAGGTTTTTACACGACTCTGTATACCAATATACCATGTAAAGTATTTGTGTATTATTACTCTCAGAGCATGTACATTCCAGTATTGCCAAAACATGACCCTATTCGCTTAATATAATTAATTGTCTTAAATAGGATAAAAATGTGACCTTATTCTCTAAATAGAAGTTCATGTTTTCTATTTTCTAAACAGGACTAAACATTACATTTCTCCCTTATAAAATTTATTGTCCTCTAGTTCCCTAACACAAACAAGGCAGTCTAGTGATGGTGGCAGCCCGACAACGACAGTTTGGTAGTAGCACAATTCTGATGGTTGGCAGTGGCGGCGCAGTTTTAGCGATCGGTGGTGGCAGCCAGGCAGCGGCAGTCTGTGGGTAGCCCCAACCTCGCAGGGGTATTTTTGTCCAATCATAAGAAAAGGCTCTTATTTAGAAATTTTAAAAATGAACTTCTATTTTTGTTTTTTTACTCCAGGGGGCCGGGGGATGGGGGATGGGGGATGGGGGGGAGGGGGCTGGAGTAATCAGGGTTGAAACTCACTCCATTGAGTTTCGAACCCTTATGTGCCAAGTGGGTTTTGAACTCGAGACCTCTCACTAGACACGCTAACCTTACAACTAGCTGGACTTGAATGCTTGGTTGAACTTGTATTTTTGCATTTTAACATGTTTTACTCCTATTGCACTAATATCTCTAACTTTAATACTTTATCCAATGATAAGAAAAGGCTCATATTTTCTACCTTACATTTGTTGCAGATTTCAAACATCATCTTTGTGGATCAACCTATCGGAACTGGTTTCAGTTATAGTACAACTAAGAATGACACTCGCTTTGACGAAAAAGGCGTCAGCGAGGACCTCTACAACTTCTTGCAGGTCTACTTTCAATTAAAGAGTATCGTGAATAATGGATTCATGGGTGAGGGGTGCTACTTGTACACATATATAATTTGTACACATTTGTTGTGCACACTATCTAGTAGCATGTGTACATAGGAGCTTCTAAACGAGCTTCAACTAGAGGATGTGTACAACAAATGTCTACAAATTATGTGTACCATAGACTTTTTCCTTCACGTGCAGCTGTGCAAGGAGGTTGTATACTCCAAAAATATTTTAAAAAATGAAATAATTATAAAAGTATGACTAAAATTAAGTTCATTTACAAAAATATACTACCTCCGTCCCATTAGAAGCTTCTCGTCCACTGTTCACATGGTCAACTTAAATCATTTTAAATCTTTTACTTTATATATTGAAGTTTTATCAAATTTACATTTTTTATCAGGCTTTGTAGCGGTTTTAATGTAGTCTCTGAATATGTAAATTTTATTTACTAATAATAATCAGAGTGTGAACAGAGATTAAATTGCTTTATCGTCAGTCAAGCATCATACTTCTAGCGGGACAGAGGGAGTAACATTTAAGTGTCGTAACTATAGTATTAACTTTAGTCATACTACATGATTTTCAGTTTTACACTTTCATGACCATGAGGCTATATTTATATTAACTGTAGTCATAGAATGTTTTCTTTTGGACTGTTTTCAGTCCCAGACTAGACCAGATCAGACCAGACCAGACCAGACCTGACTTTCGTAGTTATAAAATACACAGAGACCAGACGTTTATCAGACCCGACCCGACCAGCAAATTTCAGTCCAAAAGAAAACATCCATACTTTTATTAATAAGTGTGTCCACATTTTGTCCACTTTTGGTCCTTCGAGTTTTGTACCAATTCCACATTTAGTCCACTTCTTTCACTTTGTCCACTTTTGGTACTTGACTAATGTTTTTTAACCGTTTGTGGTCCTTTTCCGGTGATTTTAACCATCGGAAATAATCCCGAAAGGACCATATATGGGCAAAAACACAATAGTTATGTATCAAAAGTAGACAAAGTGAAAGATATGGACTAAATGTGGAATTGACACAAAACTCGTAGGACCAAAAGTGGAATTTATTCTGAGTTTTATAAAAACCTCATTACTCTCAATTAAATCCGACATGAAATTAGTAACTTTTGATTAGTTATAATCCAATCAAACTCGATAGATTTATTAGTAAAAGTCACATTACAGAATCTGGTAGCTCTTATTTTGAGAATTTAAAACAGGAACTCCTGTTTGACTCTTTTACTATATATTCGACGTTTAATTCAATCTATTTGAGGTAATTAAGTACCCCAAGTGAAATTTTACACATAAAAACTGGAATTAATGGGCAGGCATTCTTCAACAAACACCATGAATATGTCAAAAATGACTTCTTCATAACGGGAGAGTCATATGCTGGGCATTACATTCCTGCATTGGCTTCTCGTGTTAACGAGGGAAACATGGAAAATCAAGGAACTCATATAAACCTCAAGGTATCTATCTTGCTATCTCCATTCTCTAATACAATATAAACTTGATTCTATTCAACCTAACGGTGAAGTTTGGCTGTCAATACTCAACCAGGGATTTGCCATCGGAAACGGACTCACAGATCCGCTAATCCAATATGCAGCCTATACTGACTACGCTATGGAGCAAAATTTGATCAATAAGACCATTTATGACCAAATAAACCAGACCGTTCCGGCTTGTGAGACATTAATTGAAAGTTGTGGTAAATAAGCTCTTTTATACGATCCTTATTTAGTGCGTGTTTGGTAGACATAACTCTGCCTTCTATCTTTTGTACTGTTTAAAAAGTTTCTAAAAAATTTTAGTTGTATGTTTGGCATGAAAAAATTTAAGAGATTTTAAAAAAATAAAAGATCTTTTTTGAGATGCTACGAGAGTAGCATATGAGAAAAGACCATCACTTTTAGTATTAATTTGTCCTAACAGCTTGTATACTAAACGGAACTAAATCAAATAGTCGGTTTTTTACCAAACAACTACCACCTTTTCTTTTTAAGATCTTTTCAGTCCCTAAAAACTAACAATTATTAAAAAGCTCAAAAAAGTATCTTTTCACCTAGTCGTGCCACACATACCCTTAGAATATTTTTGGCACAATTAATTGAATTTTCTTTATGGCAATCTTTTTAGTAATTTTAGCTTTAAAAAAACTGAAACCATATAAAATGGAAAAAGTTAAAACTGTTTGATAAAAAACTACCTGTAACATTTTAATTTGGTTTTGTTTGATATAAGAAGCTATTGAGATTAATGAACTATATAACCTCTTTTTGCCAAAAAAAAACCTATAACCTCTTAATTACTTTTTGAATAATGCAATAACTTAATTAAAATTATGGACTTATGCCTAGGGGTGGATCCAGAATCTGATGGAAAGCCCCCGGAAGTGTTTATATGTTGATTGATCACCCTTTAGTTTTAACAACGTATTTCTCGTATTTGTTTTAAGTCTGCATTTTATTGTTCAAACATATCGAATATCATGTAATATACAGAGTATTTTTTGTGATAAAATAATTACACATTTACACTTGTTGATGGAGATTTTTTATTAACTATTAATAAATATGGAATATTAAAAATTAGGAGATAATTAAAGTAATGTAAACTATTATCTTAAAATAATAAAAATGAGGGGGGCCTAATTTTTTTTACTAGGTAAAGGGAAATAAATAAAGTTTGGAGCGGCCAAGGCCCCCTTGGCTAACAATTCCCCCCTGCTTATGCCTACTGAATAGGCACTTAGGGGCCGTTTACTTGTAGCTTAATGATAATAACAACTTCATTGTTCAACCATTAAGTCATATTTACTTATAACTTAATTGAAAGCATGTAATAGAATATTATAGGGATATTTGTGTAAATACTCTCCTTAATCCTTATTATAAATATGATGCTAGGGCTCCCAATAGGGTAAGCCATTCTTTACTCTTAATTATCTTCTCACATGGTATCAGCAGCTTAGGTTTCTGTTCCCAAACCTAACGTAATATGTCGACCGACTCTAACCCCTCAGGCGCGGCGATCCCTTCCTCGCTCCAGCCACAAGTCATCGGTCTTCATCAACAAACCACCGTAGCAGTGGTATCATCTCCGGCGCCCGCTTTCAGCATGGAGCAGCCATCCTCAGGCGTCACACTCTCCCCGCAGATTTCATCGGCGCGGCTGAACATGCCGCCGCCGCCGCTAGGCTCATACCGCCTCTTCAATATGCCTGAACCCCTCAGTTGGACCCCTACCACTTCTACGTCGGTTTTCCCTGCTTCAACAGTTCCCCTACCAGGTCCCATACCTCCGGTTGCTATCCCCTTTTCTGGACCGACTTTTCTACGACAACCAGGGACCTCACAACATGACATCGGCTCCTCTTCTCGTCAACCAGGCTCCGTTACGGTAACATCCACTCAGTTGTCTTCCCTAGCATCTCAATTAACGTTTTCAACTCCTAATGTTACCAATATTGTTACCACGCGGTTGGATAAAGTAGAGGATTATTTACCCTGGCGGACACAATTCGAGTCGTTTTTAGTCTCACATGGTTTATTGGGTATCATTGATGGTTCCATTGTTGCACCTGTGTCTTCCAGTCCTGATTATACCTCCTGGTTAAAAATTGACCAAACTGTTCGGTCATGGTTGTTTGCAACTCTCTCCCGTAATATTTTAATTGAAGTCCACACTGTCCGTTTTTCTGCCTTAATATGGGAGCGGTTGGAAACACGCTTTATGGTTGCGAGTATAGCTCGCGGCATCGAACTCAGGAGGCTCTTATCTGCCCTTAAAAAGAAAGATGACCAGTCCATGGACGATTACTTACGGGAAGTAATAGTCTTAACCGATGCACTTAATACTATTAACTCGCCTGTTAGCAATCGTGAGCTTATTCAATCTATGATTCAAGGCCTTGGACCGGAGTATGAATCAGTCATTACCTCTGTGACCCTCTTCCCGGATAGCTTCACTTTTGAGTCCCTTCGCCCGCAACTCATGGCACTGGAACAACGTGCATTGTATCTCCGTTCTCAGGCTGCTGTTCCGGGACATCAGGCTTTCGCAGCCTATGATGCTGCTGCAGTTCGACCCCAGGGCCGAGGGGGTGCCCAGGCTCGCGGCAATGGAGGCCGGGGCTATCGGGGTGGTGGCCGAGGTCGTGGACACCGTGGACGTGGCCGCGGATATGGCGGTCAGCAGCAGGGAGGAGCTCCAGTTTATGCCCAGCCGGCTGGGCAGTTTGCAGGACAGATTGCAGGAGGACAGCAGCAAGGTGGACCGGCAGCTGCTCCTTACCAGGTTCGTGGGCATGCTCCGGCTGGATTCCAAGGTACGGCGTATGGTAATGTTAGTGATGGTTATTCTTGTATTCAGGCTTTATCATCTTGTGGTACTCACCCTTTTCTTACAGGATTTCCATCTAATGAGAATCATTATCAGTCACCTCCCCCACCAGTTGTATGTCAGATTTGCTTTACCCCAGGTCATTCTGCTCTTGCGTGTTCTCGGATTACTCATACTACTCCAGCCTTGGCGGCTATACCTACAGGTGAAAATAATGCTTCCGTATGGTATCCAGACTCTGGAGCCTCAGCTCACATGACACCGCATGAAGGTATTTTATCTCATAAATCTCCTTACACTGGCTCATTTTCTGTTCAAGTCGCAAACGGTAAAAATCTCCCTGTTTCACAAATTGGCAATGTCACTTTAACTACTGCCACACGCCCGTTATTATTAAAATCAGTCTATCATGTTCCGCACATTAAATATAATTTACTCTCTATTCAACGCTTGTGTGCGGATAATGATTGCTCTGTTATTTTTAATAAAAATTCTTTTTTTGTTAAGGACCATCGAACGGGAGCCACACTCCTCCAAGCTTCCAATAAAGAATCTGTTTATCCATTTAGAGCAGCTTATGAGCCTACCCCGTCTCTCGCTTTAAAGACTGCACTTGTTCCTGGCCCGGTTTGGCACAAACGTCTCGGTCATTGTGGGGATCGTGTTTTATTGTCTCTTAGGAAAAACAATTTCATTACTAGTACTAGTAGTTTTTCGCATGATTGTGTCTCTTGTAAACTGGGCAAGTCCCACCGTCTTCCTTTTACTGATGCTACTCATGATTTTACTGCACCACTTCAGCTTATTCATTCAGATGTTTGGCAATCGCCGGTGTTATCTCATTTAGGTTTTAAATATTATGTTTCTTTTATTGATGATTTTTCTCGTTTTACTTGGGTTTACCCCATGCGTAGGAAGTCTGAAGTTTTTCACCATTTTTGCAATTTTCAAACTCTCGTTGAAAATCTGTTCAATTGCAAAATCAAGTATTTTCAGAGTGATGGTGGAGGAGAATTTGTTAATTCTTCCTTCATTAATCATTTTCATAAATGTGGCATTCTTTTTAGAAAATCTTGTCCGGATACACCTGCGCAAAATGGGGTCGCTGAACGTAAACATAGACATTTATTAGAACTTTCTCGTACTATGCTTATAGAGGCTAATCTTCCTCCTACCTTTTGGGTCGATGCCCTATATACTGCAGTGTTTATTGTTAATCGTTTGCCCACTCCCAATTTGCGTGGGGTATCTCCGTTTGAGCTTCTTTTTCATAAGGCTCCTGACTACCATTTTTTAAGGGTGTTTGGGTGTGCATGTTTTCCTAATATCATTGCTAGTTCTTCAAATAAATTATCCCCACGTTCCGTCGTTTGTGTCTTTCTGGGTTATGCACCGGGGTACAAAGGCTATCGTTGCCTTGACCCCCGTACAGGTCGAGTCTATATAAGTAGAGATGTTATTTTCCATGAATCCTCTTTTCCATATCCTACTCTTCTTAAGATCCACAAACCTGCCACATCACCTATTCTCCCACCTTGGACCCTCACACGCACCATAGACTCCACACCTGGAACCTTACCTTCACCCCTTTCGGCCAATTCACCCAAACCCACGTCACAATCACCAAACCACACTCCTTCCTCACCCTCTACACCTCACACCGAACACACCAGCCCCTATACTCCTCATGTTCTCGCAGACTTCAACCACGGTACCCCCAGCACCTCTCCCAGCAGCTCCTACGACCAAACCCCAAGCACTACTCCCACCACTCCTACTGATTCTCCACCCATCACACCTACCCGACAGTCCCAACCCTCCCTAACTACATCTGCTCTCCCTATACCCGTGGCTCCTAATGTTCATCCCATGCAAACAAGAGCTAAAGATGGTATTTTTAAACCAAAACAGATTTTTACTTTAAACACTTTAGCTCTTTCTAATGATCCCACATGTTTTTCCCAAGCTAATAAACATTTAATATGGCGGGCTGCCATGGCAGAAGAGTTTAATGCGCTCATTGCTAATAAAACATGGGATTTAGTACCTTGTGATAAAAGCAAAAATGTTGTTGGGTGTAAGTGGATCTACAAAACAAAATACCGGTCTGACGGGTCTGTTGAGCGTCACAAAGCAAGACTAGTAGCCCAAGGGTTTAACCAACAAGCTGGGGTAGATTTTTCTGAGACATTTAGTCCTGTGGTCAAACCCACTACTGTCCGCCTTGTTTTATCAGTTGCTATTTCCTTGGGTTGGTCAGTTCGTCAACTTGATGTTAAGAATGCCTTTCTTCATGGCCACCTTACCGAGGAAGTATATATGCGTCAGCCACCAGGTTTTGTCCACCCTTCTTATCCTTCTCATATTTGCCGTCTGCGAAAGGCACTGTATGGCCTTAAACAAGCACCACGTGCCTGGTTTCACCGATTTAGTGGATTTTTACTGTCCCATGCATTCCGCCAGAGTCAGTCTGATTCCTCCATGTTCACCTATCAGTATCAGTCTCATACTATTTATATCCTTTTATATGTGGATGATATTTTGATTACTGGTAGTTCACCTTCTCTAGTTAGTCACTTTATTCATCTTTTATCTAGTCAGTTTGCTATGAAAGATTTGGGGGATATACACTACTTTCTTGGTATTCAAGCTGTTCGCACACCTAAGGGCATGTTTTTGTCTCAACAAAAATATGTTACAGATTTATTGCAGCGTTTCCACCTTCATACTATTAAACCAGTTCGTACACCACTACCTTCCCGTACTACATTGTCTCTCTCTGATGGGGATCTTTTAAGCGATGGTACTGAGTACCGCAGTATGGTAGGTGCCTTACAATACTTGACTATTACTCGTCCTGATATTACTTATGCCATACATTTGGTTTCTCAGTTTATGCATGCGCCTCGTACTACTCACCTTGCAGCTGTAAAAAGGATATACAGGTACCTACAGGGCACAACGACGCACGGTTTATGGCTTCGCTCCGGACAGAGCCTTTCGGTTATAGTGGCATATTCAGATGCTGATTGGGCAGGTTGTCCGGATAGTTGCAGATCTACCACTGGTTATGCGATTTTTATTGGCGGCAATTTGATCTCTTGGCGGTCTAAGAAACAACCCACGGTCTCAAAATCATCCACTGAAGCTGAGTATCGTGCGGTTGCATACACTGTCCAAGACACCTTATTTATCCGCTCTCTACTGGCTGACATGGGCATTTATATCTCTCAACCAGTTCAGCTCTTTTGTGATAATGTGTCTGCCTCTTATCTTGCTGTTAATCCTATTCAGCACGACCGCAGCAAACACATCAAGATCGACTACCACTTTGTTCGAGAGCGGGTTGCTCACGGCGACTTATCTGTCAAATATATTCCTACTCAGTATCAGCTTGCTGATATATTTACTAAAAATTTAAGTAGTCAGCGTTTTGAATTTTTGCGTTCCAATCTGCACGTGGTTTCCCCTACACAGATTGAGGGGGTGTAATAGAATATTATAGGGATATTTGTGTAAATACTCTCCTTAATCCTTATTATAAATATGATGCTAGGGCTCCCAATAGGGTAAGCCATTCTTTACTCTTAATTATCTTCTCACAGCATGTCCTAGAAAATATTAATCCTTTCCACTTGAGATAATATTTTGATAATTTTTTTGAACTGATCGTGACCTACATCTATTTTAGCAAATAAAATTTCTCATTGACATTAAATCCTAGAATAACACTCCATTACTAAATTGATAGTTTTATTTAATTAATTCAACACATAGAATAAACAACCCCATATAGAATTATCACTTAATCTACAAGAAAGTAGATTAACATAATACAAGAAAGTAAACCATCCCTTGCTCCAAGCCTCCAATAGCTCTTTTCAATTCGGCATCTATTTTCCCCTTATATGGAATTTGCATGCATTTTTGTGTTAATTTTTTTAGAGATTACTTCAAAGGACTAAAACTATAGCAAAAACTCAAAATATGACTTGCTATGTTTTTTTTTCAAATTAGGACCATAGTGGTCCTATTGGAAACATACTCATTTCTTGCTTCCATTCTTACCCCTCCTTTAAATATTAGTAAAAGATAGCTAAAAGTCATAATTAAATGTTTAATTCATAATAAATCTGAAAAAAGTTCAATAATTCGTAGAAAAATAATTACAAAATAAATAAAATTTTTATAAAATAAAAAATAAGAAAATATTTTTTTTTTTGAAAATTAATAAAAAATAGTAAAATTCCATAAAAAAAATTTTAAAAAAAATGGATACCTTTCTCACCGCCTGTACTACCTCCCTGAACCACCACCTCCGATCGGTGTAAAAAATGCCATTTTTTTTTAAATTCCACAAAAATGACATATTTCTCTATCAGAATGCCAACATTTTCATTCTGCCAACTTGAATCCTTTTGACTTTTGCCAAAAATATGGTATTCATAATTTTTTTGGCATTTTTTACCCCGGTGACAGGAGGTGGTGGTACCGCCTCCCTGCACCACCACCTCCGACCGTTAAAAAAAAATGCCATATTTTCTACAAACTTCCATTTTTTTCGGAAAATGCCAAAAATATGGCATATTTCTCTTTGACAATGCCAACATTTTTTTCTGCCATCTTAAATCATTCTGAATTATGCCAAATATATGGAATTCATAATAAATTTGGCATTTTTTCCCCAAATGACTAGAGGTGGTGGTGCTGGGGCGGCAGAGGCGGCGGTGACATTTTTTTTTGATTTTTTTTTTAATTTTTTTTAATTTTTTTATTTTTTTTTTTATTTTTTTTAAAATTTATTATTATTCAAAATATTTTTATTAGTTTTTCAGTATATTTTACGAATTTTTATTATTTTTTATTATTTTATTATGAATTAAAACATTCCAATAGGTATAAGGGTATATTTGTCCAAGACACACATAATTAGTCCTATGGAAACATAGTTTATTTTTTGGTCCTATTTGTGCAAAGTGAATGACTTTTAGGCCGATAATTAACTCTAATTTTTTCCCAGGAACCTCGGGTGAGAAGAAAGTTTGCGAGGACGCTTTTGTAATATGCACAAACATATTCCAAGAGATACTATTTATTAGCAATCATAGCAACGTAAGCATTTTTTGTACTAATGATGTTTTAGTTACACCATTTTCAGGTGAAAAATATATTAAATCAGATTAGATTGAAGCAATTAACAAACCACACCAGATTAGATTAGATCAGATTTTGAAAGTTGTGAAATACACGCCGTAATATAGACATATACCAGACCAGATCAGACGGAACTTAACATATCAGATCAGAACATTTCAGTCTAATTAAAAAACATCCTAAGAGGCTATAAGCTTGTTTGGTCACACTAAACTTATGAATTGTGAAAAAGTATACTTAAAAATATACGGAGTATATTATTGTAAAATAAAGAAAACATTATATTGAAAATTGTCCTCATCGGCAATTTCTGCTAATTTAGCTAGAGAATTAACTTCAATAATTATATGATCTATCACTCCGAGACCTGAATAATTAAAAACTATCTATCAAAGACTTACAATCCATATATTTTGATATATATATATATTTTAATTCCATTGCTAACTTTTGATGAAATTTTCTTCACAAAAGTTTATTAGTTTAATACAACTAAATAATATTAAAAACATTAAATTTAAAAAAAATAATAAAATTCATGACAATTTAAGTCTTAGATTGATAGTTTTCAATACCAACACATTTCATATTTTTGCAGACTTCGGATTTATATTTCAGGTTCTGATTCGATAAAATTCCTTGATTTTTTAATACATGATAAAACAATTTCTGACATAATTGAGCGTGTGTAATCTAAAGTTGCTTATTTGGAAAAAGCTGTTTGATAAGCTAAGGCTTATAAGATGAAAAATAGGGCTTACCAGGTTGCCGATACATGTTTTCTAAAGCAAGTTATAAGTGATATACCTTGATAATACGTAGTAAATGTTTAGGTAGGTTATTTTTTTTTGGATGAAAGCGGCTTACATAAAAATCAAATCATTTGGAAAGCAGGTAAACAGACAAAATAACTTTAGAAAACCGTTGTCTCACGAACCAAAGTCGGAGTCAATTACCTCAGTAATGTAACTCGTTGATCCATATTTGGGCACAACTAAGCCAGTGACGGTTATCTCAGATAGATCATCTCCCACATCCAAACCAGAATCCAACATTTTACAACCATTAAAGCAGAAAAAACCACACGAAAAACAAGACCAATCAGACCAAAAATAAAAATAACAAAAAACAATAGAGTTACTGCAAAATTGAAACAGCAATCCGCACCCCCAACTCGTCCCTTTCTGTCTCGCTGATCCACCTCTCCATTTTTGAACTGTCCAGATCCATCTCATCCTCATTCTGGTTTTGAGTTGTCCTTGTTTCCCAGGTACGCCTGCATTTTTCTCCAGATGATTCTTCATTATGTTTCAGAACCACTTCCTTATTAGAAGCACTCACCGAATCCCTTGAATCTTCTTGCCCTCTTTGCCGATTCCTCCCCGGAGGTGAGGCATCCTCAATCAACCATTTATTTTTTCCTGCAGGGCTTAGCTTTACCCCACCCCTACCCTGAGAGACGCATCAAATCTTTTTTCCAACACCAGACCTTCCTCGTACATGAGTGGACAGAATTTATCAAAATTTCCCATAACTCCACAGATAAAACAAAAGTTGGGTAGCTTCTCATACTGAAAATCTACCCAGTACCCGACCCCCTCTTTCTTCAGGTTCGTACCTTTTTTCAGGGGTCTTTCCACGTTAATGCATGCTCGAACCCTCATATAAGGCTTCCATTGTTCACCATAATTATTTTTGTCAAAATCAACAAAAGTACCCACCATAATTATTTTTGTCAAAATCAACAAAAGTACCCAGAAAATTTCCCACTTTTCTAGCAGTACCTAGATTCAACATACCATAGCTAGGGAACATTATGAACCTTAACCCAGAATTCTGCCTCATTCATAACCATTTTATGAGGAATATCCGTTGGTTTGATATCCTTTGCAATCACCAAATTCCTCTCAAATTGCCAAGGGCCTCCCTCAATTACACGCTTCATATCAACGGGATGGCTAAAATTAAAAATATACCTTTTTTCCTCGATCTCCTTGATTTCTATTCCTGCCCGGCCTCCAAATTGATGCAATTGCCTCTTTGAAGCCTGAGAAGTTGATTTTCCGGTCTGTTATCAGTACCCCCGACAATCGGAAGCGCCGAACGAACCACCTCCCCAGCCTCCTCGTCGGCTTCGACATCATCGCACACCAACTCTGCCTTCGTTTCCTCCACGCTCATACGCCTATACCTCTCTGCTATAGACTCCATCTCGAATTGGACACAAACGGCCAGGAGGAAAATTCTACGCTCTCGAATTGGTCACCCTCCTCCTTGCTGCTCGCTACTCCTCCCTGCTCTTTCCCCACGTTTTATAGCCTCCTGTTTCGGTGCTTCGAAGGTCAATACCGCACCCCGACGGATACACCGAGCTGCCGGACCACAGGCTAGCGGCGATTGAGTTTCGCCCTGTTTAGGTAGGTTATTATAGCAATAATAGCATTGCTAATACGCTCTCAGATCTCATAATATGTGTTGTAAAAAAGTTGGTGATGAGGTGGTTTTGAAATACAACAATAAAAGGATAATTAAACATTTTATAATCGATGTAAAATATGAAAAAAGCTATGAAAAAGCTATATTCAATGAAAGTCATCAATTATGCTAAGCTAGCTCAAGCTTACTGAATTCTAACTTACATCAACCCAACGAAATTTATTGGTATGACTTTTCTTAAACAAAAGCTGATAATCAATCAACCTTTATATAGAGTAATAATAGAGCACCTAATAATCAGCATTTGGTGGGTGAATCATAACCTAAGACATTAAGAGTCCGTTTGGAGAACTCTATTTTCGGCTTATCAGGCTTATCAGCCAGCTTTTTCACCAAACACGTAACTTTTACTTTCGCGCGCTGAATTGTGTAATAAGCCGAAAAAGTAAGGTTGGAGTTACTTTTCTGGCTGTATTGGCTGAAGTTACTGTAGAGGACCATTTTAACTATTTTTACATATAATTTTTTCTTTAATTTATTAATAAAATATATTTTTAAAATATTTTTTTCTTAAATCAGCAGAATCAGCCAAAACAGCCACTCCAGCCAGAATATCATAAATTTCAGCAGAATCAGCCAAAACAGCCGATTTTGGTGCTACCAAACGGGCTCTAAAATAGGGAGTAGTAACAGACTAACAGCTTAATTGCCATGTGAAAAATGCAGCCCTATGACATCAGGAAGCCATGTCAAGGACAGCTCTGTTACAACATGTCGAACGTGGAAAAGTACCTCAACCAACAAAAAGTTAGAGAAGCTCTTGGGGTTGGGGCCATTCAGTTTGTTTCATGTAGCCAGATTGTGTACAACGCAATGATACAGGACTGGATGAGAAACTATGATGTTGGTATTCCTGCACTCCTTGAACAAGGAATCAATGTGCTTATATATGCTGGCGAATTTGATTTTATCTGTAACTGGCTTGGTACGTAGTGGTTTATTAGTTCATATTTTATTGGTTTAGGAAAAACTTCAAAGTCACAATTAGGGGTGTTTGGATCTAATTCTTAAAACTGCTTCTGCTCCTTCAACGAGCAGAAGCAGAAGTTGGAGTGTATGGGTGAAAATGCAGAAGTGATTCTGGTGCTCTAATTTACTCCTAGAATCAGTTTTTAAGAAGTTGAGGTGACCAGCTTCTGAAAACTAATTCTGATTTTGTTTATGCTCTAAAAAAGAAGTGGCAGCAGAATCAGTTCCAAACATCCCGTTATTGTTATTGCTATTGTAACAACCGAGGCCTGATTTTGGATGAACAGGAAACTCAAGATGGGTTCATGCCATGAAATGGCTTGGTCAGAAAGACTTCGGCATAGCACCTAACGTTTCATTTACTGTGGATGGAGAGGTGAAAGGAACACTAAAGAGCCACGGACCACTGAGTTTCCTCAAGGTGAGTGATGCAGGCCACATGGTTCCAATGGATCAACCTAAGGCAGCACTAGTAATGCTTCAGAGGTGGATGCAGGGAAAACTTACCTCAACAGCGTAATATAATACGAGTAGCATCTTGGCCCCATAACACACCTAAAGTATTATTGTTACACCATTTTTGCTTGAGATGCATGTTTAATTTTTTTTTAGTGTTCTATGGACTTAATATATTTCGAATTTGCAACTAAAATGGCTCTGATCTTTCTCTGAATGTAACACGTAAACCATATACAATATGATTCTTCATTGATGAATGATGAACATATATATGTCACACTGATCTTCCATGAAAGTGACGTGCACTTTGTTACGGTGCGTCAAAATAATATTCAATACTAACACTAATACGTAGTATAGTGAAGTAGAGTTCGCATCCACAGGGAAAGGAATAATTCTCTTTTTATGAACTAGTAAATAAAAGGGGGGTATGGTATTGTTGGAATTTAATTAATTAAATAGAAAGATGAACAACTTAAATGTGATTTAATTCAAAGATAAAAAGGACTTGACATTACTACTTTCCACTTGTTGATATATTTTAGTCGATCATTGTTACTCCCTCCGTCCCTAATAACTTTGCCAAGTTTGACCGGCACGGGGATTAATAAAGTAAAAACTGTGTGGTTGAGGTTTGTGCAGAGGAGAGAGAATTAACTGGAACCACAAATTCTTTACTTAAATGGGAAAGTGACAAAGTTAATGGGACATCCAAAAAAGGAAAATTGGCAAAGTTATAAGGGACGGAGGGAGTATATCTATAACTTATTCCCTCTCAAATACTCAACCGAGGAGTATATCCAATTCATCGAGAGTAGTTATTAACAACGACCGTTCATTAATAACCCTTACTATTAGTCAAGTATAGAACACCGCCATATACCGACTTAGTAGTAGCATTTAATCTCTTAACTCCTTGATGAAATCAATTGAGATTGATAACCTCAACACAACGGTTTCGGTTTAACCAACAAAATTAATCCCTCTTAAGTTTATTAACCACGACCGTGCATTAATAAACCGAAGTTACTTACTTGTGAAACAATCAACAATTAACCATCGGTTCGTTGATCGTTTCTAGTAGTAATTAATGTCGAGATGTTAACTAATTGTCATCTTAGCAACACTCCCCAACATTAATATAGAGATAGATTAAGGGAAGAATTAATATTCAAGAAAGAAGATTAAATATGAATAATCCTACTATAACTAATGTCAAGATGTTATCTAATTGTCATCTTAGCAACACTCCCCAACATTAATATATAGATAGATTAAGAGAATAATTAATATTCAAGGAAAGAAAAGAAAATAACTCACAACTTTAATAATCAACAAGCTTCAAGAGCAACACCAAGAAATAGAAGTTTAGCTCCTCATTTGGAGACTAAACATGCTATAAAAATATAAAAGAAATACTATTCTAAACTGAGCTTAAGAGTATGGAAGAAGGAGCTGGTTTTTTGTGAAGGAAAAGTATGCTATTTATAGGTGTTTTTCAACACCTTGGGCCGGGTACCCGACCAGGTCAAGTGCCCACCTGACCGGGTGCATGTCCAAATCAGATAATCTTCCACGTTCTTGTGTTTTAGCACGTTAAAATGTTCCGGGTCAAGTCAGACCCGACCGGGTGGAATAGTTGACCCGACCGGGTCCAGTTCTTTCCACTGAAGTTCGGTTTTTAAATCAGACCCGACCGGGTGTAGATTTCTACCCGGTCGGGTGGATCTCCCTGGACTGCATTCCTGTTGACTTTTTCTCCTTTTCCTTGCCAAAAACTCTACCCCTATTTTACTACTATAAATGGAAGTAAAAAATTTAAACAATTACAACTGAAAACAAATGCTTACAAACTAACTAAAAATGGTAAACAATCCACACAAAATAAATATAAAAACATACATTTATGCAATACAAACTAGTGCATATCAAATACCCCCACACTTGAATCTTTACTCGTCTCGAGTAAATGAAATCCAAGAAATCCTCAAATGATAAGATCATCGACCATCACAAAGTGTTTTTAGAACCAAGATAATCACAAAGTATCCCCAACATAAAAAAAAAATACATCAAGGGGTCTTCAATTTCTTTTTCCTCATGCAATGCACTTTCTTTAGTAACCACCCTTAGGATCCTGCAAAATCAAAAGAAATACTTTCTCTCAGTCTCTGATTTTGCCTAGGTGCCCTTTCGGGTTTTCAACCCAGCTTCCCACATTTTTCTTAAATAAATCTCACAAACTCACTCTTATTTTTGCTTTATTTTTGCTTAAGCTGCCCTTTGTGGGTTTTCAACTTAACAAGCTGTTTTTTTTAAAGCAAGAATCAAGAGTATGAATGTGAGCATACCGGACAAATCTCCCCCACCGCTAGTCCATGGCATAGTCCCTAGTGCCCGCCTGCATCTCCGCCATCATAGAATCCTCCATAGCCCTAGTAGCCCCCAAAGTGTGCATCCTCATCCATGTGATCACCACCATATCCGTCGTGCCCGCCTCCACCACTAGAGCTCAAACTACCAAAATAACCCCATTCAGTGGGGTTATACCATGAGGGTGCCGGAGGAGGAGTAGTCATAGCGGCAAAGTCACCCTGATGTGCTACATAGGAGTAGATAGGGCCAAAAGTCCTCCTCTGGTCCTCCTGATCTCTTCGTCGATCTTCTTCTTCGTATCTCCGCCAATCCGCTTGCCTTTGCTCCTAGACCCTCTCATAGTTCTACCTTTGCTCAGTTCTATACAAAACAACTTCCCCCCGAAGTTGAGTGTAGTTAAGGTATAGAGCATTCATGCTATTTAGCATTTCTTGCTCAAATGGTGAATATTGGTGAGCATTGAGTTGTGGTTGAGGTTGTTCAGGGATGAGGGGTGGTGGTTCATGCGCAGGCTCTTCTTGTTGGGGTTGTTCTTGATGGTGTTGTTCTTGTTGGTAGTGGAGTGGTATTCTTCTAGGAAGACAATAGTGGTGTCCATCACCAATTTGGTGATTAAGAAGGTCCAAAGGGAGGTCGGCTGAGGGTATTTGTGTGTAAATAGGATGTGGTGGATCAATTAACCAATTGTAGATATCTACCCCACCGGGTGTTTTATGGGAAAAAACAATATCTTTGGTATTTTTAAGGAGCCATGATGTGCAAACAAGCTGTGCTGAGGTAATGGGGCCTGGGTCTACAAAGCCATAGAGTGTGTCTAAATTTTTAATCAAACCCCCTACCCTAATAGTTCCCGTGGAAGTTTCCACTGTCTCGAAGTGATCCTATAGGATGGAGGCAACATCCACGTGATCCGGACATGGTAAAACAGCTTGTCCAAGAATACAAACATCCCATACCCTTGTGTGATGGTTATTCGGTCTTCCAAGAAAACAATTTGATAAAAATTTCAAGAAAATTCGGAAGACCGGATGTTGTACACGATTCACACTAAGGTGTCTAAGCTCCACATCCACCTGCCCTGTCATCCTTCGCCACATTTCCACACCCACAAAAGTGTCGTATTCACGCATTGAACAAATGGAGTCCAAAGTGTTGGGCAAACTCCCGCTTGGTCAATGAACGGTTTTCATTCAACAAACGAAATGTGATTCTACTCTCAGCATGATTATCCACATTCGCTATTTGCTTAAATGAACTAAAGAACTCATACACCAAATGTGGGTAGGTAACATATTGCATCTCAAATATCCTAAGCATCCCAATGTTGGTGAAAATCTCACGCATAATCGCATCAAGCATGAATGACAATAGCGTAGTAATGCATATAAAACGGGATTGTTTTACCTCCCGTTTGATTTGCTTAATGAAGCTCTTTTTGTGGACCTCCGTGTCAAATTCCACACTTTCAAATCCGGGGACGGGTGCAATTGCTCTGTTACCCCTTGAAGTAGAGGCTTTTGATTTCTTTGGAGCCATGAAAGTTGATTTTTGGAATTTTTCTTGGTATTTTCGGACTTGGGTATGGTGGGATTTGGAACTTTGGATTTTTGGTGGGTTTTGGGTACTTTGGGGTTGTGAGAGTGGAGAGGATGATTATTAGGAGAAGAAATTGAGATTTGTTGGGGATTTTGGGGGAAAAATTCGGACCTTTGAAGATGGGGGGTTAGGGTTTCGGATTTCTCTTGGGGGTGGATTTGGATGGGTTTTGTTGGTAGAAAATGGAAGAGGGAGTGGAGGAGATGAAGAAAATGATTTTATTTAGTGAATTTGGGTGAAAAATAAGGGAGAAACGAAGCTTTTGGTGCTTAACAATGGAGGAATTTGGGGGGTTGGTTTGATGGAGGAAGAAGAGAAATGGGGAAGGAGGGTCTTCGCCCACCCCATATGGGGATTTTACCCGATCACCCGGCCGGGTGTTGGATCTGACCCGGTCGGGCGTTACCATTTTTCTTATCCAGTGAGTTTTTCGCCAATTCGCCCGGCCGGGTGTTGTAGGTTACCCGGTCGGGTGTTACCATTTTTCTTATCCAGTAGGTTTATTTTCAAATCACCCGGCCGGGTATAATGAAGTGACCCGGTCGGGTGTTTTGTTCCAGGGGTCAGGTTTTGAAAAAATTATGTCGCCCGGTCGCATTTATGTTTCCAGCCAAAGTAGTGGTTTCAAAATTTTGATGACCCGGTCGGGTATTTTGGAGACCCGGTCGGGTAGAAATGTTGTGTTAAGATTTTTCAGCCTACCTCGGCCGGGCGTAGGGTGGGTATGTGTTTTTTTTTCTTCAGACCTGACCGGGCTTAAGTGTGTACCCGGCTGGGTTTGATTCCCAGTTTTTTTTTTTGAAAGGGTTTTCTCACACACACAAAAATGAAAATGATTAAAATACAAAGTTGGGTTGACTCCCAAGAAGCGCTTGATTTAATGTCGCGGCACGACGTTATTTTTATCTTATTTTCTGTTTTAAGTGGGATCGTGAACATCCCTTGTTTCATTCTTCTTCTTTGACCTTTTCCAGTAAGGTCGAGATTCTCCTTTGTTATCACCTCTATTAAAATATTTGGCGTGGGTGATTCAAAAACATTCAAAGAGCAAAGAGATTGATCTTTAATTTGTTTTTTCGTAGAGTCAAAGATATTGAACTCTACTTTTTGGTCATCAAACTCTAAAGTTAATGAACCACTAGACACGTCAATTTTTGTTTTTGCGGTCTTCAAGAAGGGTCTTCCCAAAAGGATGAGTGTCATTTGGTCATCATCTTCCATTTCAAGAACGTAGAAGTCAACAGGAAAAACCAAATTTTCTACTTCTACTAGCACATCTTCTATTACACCTTTCGGGTAGGTATTAGATCGATCCGCTA